GGGGGGGGGAACCACCGCCTAGGCACTGTCAGCCGGGCACACACTACAGGTCCCATGGGAAACGATCCGTCACAAGGTTGTGACGAGGTCGGCAGCGACGCAGATCGCCCTGACGCGGAGTCACCACCTCACTCGAGTCCTGCTGCAGCGTCCTACCTGCGGTCTGCTGGTGGCCGCCACGAGCGGGGTGCTCCACTGGTGGTGCGCGTTGCCGGGACTCGGCCCCCAGCCGTCGTCCGCCTCCTCCCCCGAGTCCATGTCGTGGTGGTGGCGGTGCGCCGGGTGGCCCTGGGGGTCGCCGCCGCCGCCGCTCACAAAGAGCACCCTCTTGCCGCCGGCGTGGCGCTGCAGACTGGACATGGAGGGCCCCATGGCGCCCAGCGGCGGCCCGGGCCCCAGCGACTGCAGGCTGCCCACCAGGCTGCCCACCAGCCGCCCGTCCAGGTGCACGCCCATGTGCATGTCCTCGAGCAGGTGGTCGCCGACGACGTGGTGCGCGAGCACGCCGTTGGTGGACGTGGACGGCTCGTACGCGCTGTTCATGACGATGGCGGTGGCGGCGTCCGACAGCGGCGTCTCGGGCGTGACCGCGTCCTCGTCGTCGCCGCGGTAGTAGAGGCCGTCGGGCTGCATGGCGAGCATGTGGTCGCGCGGGGATTCCCGTCCGCGCGGCCGGCGGCGAGGGGGCGGCCGGCCAGCGTCTCTCCTGACTTATTCAGCCGCGGCAAGCTGGGGAATTCACTTAGGAATCAATTCAGGACGGGGGCGGCGCCGAGCGGGGCGGGTGGAGCGCGGAGCGGCGAGCGGCGCGCCGGCCGCTGACAGGTCATCTTGATAGAGGCGCCCCCGCCGCCGCCGAGCGGCCGCCGTCTCGCCGATTTGCCTTTCCCGATCGCGATTTCTTTCGGCCTGCATACGTCACGATCACTTATCGGCGCCGGTCAAACGGCCGTCATTTGCTCGCTGCCGCCGGTCGCTTTGTCTAGGGGCCGTGGTCGCCGCCGGCGTGGCCTCCGCGGCCACCGCAGGAGGGTGCGTTCGTGACGGCCGGCCGTGTGCCGTTGCGGTCGGGCCCCGCGGCCGGACGCCGCAGAGCTCCCGGCGGTGGAATCTGTGAGCAGGAAATGAAACAGGGTAATTAGAATTGACAGGGCACGGCTCCGGGCAGCTCGGCGAGCACTATGCGGCGCTATGCGGCGCTATGTGGCCGTCACACTGCGCCACCGAGGGAAACAACAGACACAGACTGGACGACGGCCTCGATCGAGTAGGCATGAACATGCACAGGGCACCAGCGGCGCGCGGGCTTCTCGCATTTTATTATTCACAAACCTATTTGCAAACAAATCGGCGTCAAAAAAAAATAATTACCGACACAGTTAAAACCTTGCAAAGCAGAACGCCAAATTGTGTTTGCAATTGCACAGCAATTGCTGTGCACCCAAAAAACTGACTTCTAGTACCTAGTATACATTGTATTTGATCCTTGATTTTTCAAGTACACATCTCTGGAATCAAGTTTTGTGTGCTTGAAAAGCAAGGATCAAGTACAATGAACTTGGTCCGAAAACGCGTTTTTTTTGTGTTTTTTTTGTGGGGGGGGGGGGTCAAGTCCCATGAAAACGTTTTCATCATATTTGTATCCGAGTGAAACATAAAACGTCCTCGGTGGAGTGCGCGCGATTAGTTTTGCGAAATCGGCGGGGATTATAGCGGCATTAGTTGTGCAACGCGGGCACGTTCCCTAATGCGAAGCGGCGGCGGGGTCGTTAGGAGTGACCGGCACACTGGGAACTAAGTGCGTGCATGTCGCACACTTGTAGGTCTGTGTAAAAAGTGTAACGCTAGTCGTACAAGACACAAGTTTTCCAATAAAAATTCAGACCACTAGTTCCTTAATTATACGAATGGACATCACACACCTACAAGAGTATGCGTGCGAAATTTACACACTTTCGTTTCCAGTGCAATATAAGCAGCGTTTAAATAAAACTGTAGCAAAGATTATTTTTCTTTCCCTCACAATACGCCATATGCGAGTTTTCGCCATTTAAAAGTGTATCAAGTCTCGTCGAACGTCGAACCAGCTGCGCCTGCCCACTTTAAACTCATACAAATTTTGTCTAAATGACAGCAACGAAAAGAAAGGAAAATAAAATAAAAAAATAAACAACGGGAAAGTAGCAGGGTATAGCTCGATTAGCATGATCGCCCCACCTAATTGGCTCTAACGTATCGGACAGTTTCTCACGACTAAAATTTCGATTAGATAGGAGGCTGGCCGTGACCTTGACATCTAATTCAATTTCACATCTTCAAGGTTGCTATTTTAATCCATTTTTGCATCAACGATTAAGAAAGTATTTCACTGTTCAACGAAAACTTGAGTGCGAGCGCAATAGATTGGATGATGTTCCTGCGTGACGGCCCTTTCCTCCCATCACTTCCTCCCTCTCCCGCCAGTCTCGCTGGCCGGGCACACGGACCCAATGGGAACATTTTACAAAGTTGACATCTCTTCGAGGGCGAGCAGAAGAGCCCCTTCTGGTCGAACAAGTGTTGAAAGATCACAGCCCGCGAGCGCCACCTCCTCCTCCTCCTCCTCTCCTTTCCCTCCCTCTTTTCCTACTTGCTTTCCGCGAAAGTTGGAAAGGATGTTTTCCCCTTCATTTTTATTATTATTTATGTCTGTGGTGTGGCGCGGGGGGAGGACCCCCTTCGTCTTGCGCCCGTCGATAGCAGGTGTTATTCTGTCGCTCGCGTCGCCCCCTGGCCATGCCCTGGCGTGTCGTCTGCTCCCGCTGCTTGTTTGGCCCCCCCCACCTAATGCCAGATCTGGCCAGATCACAATCAGGGCCCCCATTACCGGCCAGCCATAACGTAACTCGATTATCTTTGGCTGTGCAAGGCGACGACAAGAAGCACGCGGCGGACGAGTGCTGCTGGACACAAGTGCGCAGTGCTTGTAATTTCAACAATTTTGAACTGGAAATGTAACGAAACACCCACCCAGAAAACCGTATCTTTCTAACAAAGAAATTTTGACGTGATCGAAAGAAATAAAATTTTAGTTGTAACAAATAAAAACATTCGTTTGCTCAACGATTTGTTATTCTACTTGATAAACATCTTGTTTAATTTGCCAAAAAATTCGTTGGATTGAATATAAAATTTCACCATCCGAACGAAAAACTTTTCTGATTTCTGTAATCAAATTTTCGTTGAGGTAAATAAAAATTATCGCAAGTGTGTGAATGTCGCGTACTTGTAGGTGTGCGAAATGCCCCATCCGTACCGGGTGATTCAGAGAAGGCGCAGGTGCGGGTTTGCCTACCCAAGGGGCTTGAACGAAAGAGTTTGAACTCTGGGGCTAAGGCACCTTACGGGCAGAGCGGGTTAGGCAAACCTGCCCGCACCTATGCGTATCTTTGCTAAATCACCCGGTACACTTACGGGAGAAAAGGTATGATTTTTTCTTTGAAACACACTTATTGTGTTTTTGTGTACGAATGTCGTTTACACAACTACGAGGGGCCGACATTCGCACACTGGGATTTCCGGTACACGCTTCGCTGACAATTTTGAGGTAAGACCTTGAACTATTTTTTCAAAATGAGACTGAAATTAAGCATGACCCAATAATGACTCCTGATTAGAGCACAAGGGACTTTCTTCTTCAATAGAGAACTGGACGAGAGAATAATATGGAAGATGCACCCTCTTCTGTCACGGTCAGCCTGCCCGACCGGCCCGGCGCGGCCGAGGGTGCCAGAGTTGCCACCCTCGGCACGCCAGGGCTCGGCACGGCTCGGCGCCCGCCTCCAGATTAGCCAACCGAAATAATTTAGTTGGTTTGCGTTGCGCCGCGCTGGCTGAGCCCCGGCGGTGGTGACGGGCGCTCGGGCGGGCGGCCCGGGCGGGCGGCCCCCTCCCCGGCGCAGCGGGCGCAACCCCTGAAACCGGAGTGCAGAAACGGTCCTGCCTGCAGCTCCGCAAAAGGACACGGATAGACAGCTCCGAGGCCCCTGAACCCTTCACGGGCGTCGCAGAGGAGCTACCGAAAAGGATCATGAGTGGGTGGGGCCCCATCTGGAGTTTCTAGAGTTGTATAGCAAGTCACAGTCTGCCAACGACTAAACTACGCAGGCGTTTTTAGCAGATGACATACATTTTACTCAAAACTATATAAACTAACTGATAATCAAAATAGAGCAAGGCGTTGTATATGGGAATTCGATAGTGCACAACTTACACGTTGTGTGTACAATAATTTTGTTCCGCTTTATTCTAGGAAAAAAAAACACCAAAAAACACCCCAAAAAAAGCAGCAACCAGGAAGGAAGCACGCACAACTCGCGGCCAGCTTCACCGGAACAAGATATTGTCTGAAGCCGTCGGCCGCAAGCGGGGCCTGCAGGGCGGAGAGTAACGGCGCAACTGCCGAGGCCGACAAGACGGCATTAACTCGATAATTTGCAGCGCCGCCGCGGGGCCGCCGTTAACTGTATTCCGGGGCTTCATAAGGCGCGAGGACGGGTGAAATGTTCTGAAAAGCAGCAAAGAATAAAAACATGGGCATTGTGAACGCCCGCCCCCCGCTCTTGACCTCACCCCTCCGCCTCCAGCCTGGCCCCCTCCCCCTTCCCGCTCTGCCGCCCAACACGCTTGCCTTTCCGTTTTAATCTGAAAAGAGAGAGGGAAAATTATGATGGAGCTTTTAGACGCATGTTGGGGAGGCGACGACGGCCCCCACACGGCGGCGGCGGCGTAAGGCCCCGGCGGACACGACCGCCGTGCCGTTCTTTCTTTCTTTCTTCCTCTTTATTATTTTTCGTAGCGGAAGAAAAAGAAAAAATATCCACTAATTGTTTTCTGTTTTGTTTTTGCACGTTTGAAAATAAGACGCATATGTGGTGTTCCTAGCATTTTCAAGAACAACAGAAAGTATGGAAAGTGTTCGGCAGTGTACAATGAGTATGGGTACGTACTAGTTACTATACAAAAACAAATGTTGTAGTTCTAGGGGTACCAAGCATGGAATTCGATTTGTTATAAAGACTTCAGAAAAGAACTGCGCCCACCGGACCCCAATGACCATCACCGCCAATGACGCGCAATTTAGATACAGCAGTTTGTAGTTACGGCCTTGTGCGAAAACACACTGTTATTTGTATAATTTAGAGGGAAGGCAAGACCAAAAATGGGGTACAACTGAACTTCCAAACGGTCAACTTTTGGTATGTTTAACTGCCAAATTGTATGATTTGAAGAGGCCACAAACTGGCATTCGTGAAAAAAATGACACAACTTTTTAACTTTAACAAAGTAGACGCAATTTGGCATTTTGGTACACATAATTGCACTGAAATCCCTAGCAGTGTGCTCAGTAACCATGAGCTTCCGCTTCCACGCAAGCAAGAATCTCTTTCTAGATCCAGTTGAACGATTATTTGAATCCTAATTTGAGCTAACAATCCGCCTCATTACAACACTGCAAAAAGTAATTACAGGAAAATGATGGCAATCGCTGCTAATTATTTTCTAACAACATCCGTCAACAGAAAAACGGCATTGTCGTACCTTCAAATTTGGTACGGAGAGCAATGTAGGCCTACAGGACTACCGTACAGGCAAAACCGGGTAAAACTGTCTACAGTGGAGCCGTATTCGTACACTACCGTGTAAAACCTGGGCTTTCTGCTGCCACACTAACACCGACTAGCACTGTACTACGCGCTCTGTCCCCTGGGTACAATGACAACCGCGGCTTGCACAGTAGTGCCATACATTGCTCCGTATTATTGCTGAGCTTAGCTTGAACTTGAAATTAAACTTTAACTTTAAATGCTCAGCTATGTCAGGAAGCGCAAGGGGAGACCGCCCGGAAGATGGCGTGAAGTGAGGCGCCTGGCGTGAGACGTGGGATGTGAGGTGGATAGGCATGCCAACCAAAATGGCGAAAACATTTTAATTTTAGTGCGCCGCAGGCCAAGGTAGACGCACATTTAGCTCAGCATCACACGGTTTTAACGTGCGTCTACCTTGTACGCTATTTCTTACAGTTAGGTGACAGAGGCGTATAGTGGGTATGCCACAATTGCCGCGTAATTTCGAAGGATGTATGAGGAAAGTTCTCAGTAATTTGTGTTCCGGTTGAGTTGTACAAATTTGTATCAACTGTACAAGGGTTATTTACTTAGAAAATACTTCCGTCATTTGCCGTTACGAGCCTGCCAACAAGTGCAGCCCACGCAAGCTCCTATAGCGCCTGTCATGTAGGCAAACTTCTTGCCCGCAGTGCACGCGTGTACTGCGGGATGGCCTATCCCGAGTCTCGCAGGCGCCGGTCTCCTGCGCGTAGTTTCCCGAATGAATCTGAGAAGCGGACGCCCTTTATGGAGGATCCCCTATAGGTAACCCAGATTCATTAAGGGTGCATCTAAAATGTACTTTTAGTACAAAGCAGGAGTGCTTCAATGATTTCCCTGAGAATTTTGTTTTACACGGCGTACTTGCACATTTGCCGCAAAAAAAGACCGCAAAGTCCAGCGACATTTTTTGTTTTCAATTAGATTTTATCATATATTTCACGGCATTTTCAGCGCGCTAATGCCGCCTCGTGTAGTCTACTCACTCGGGGTGGGTCTCGCCTCGGCTGGCGCGCGCTTCAGCTCGCGGGTCTGCCACGTGGCGCTGGGCGCGCGGCGGCGGGCGTCGCGAAGGCCCCTGGTGCAGCCGGCGCGGCGCCCCTCCGCGCACTGTGGCGCGCCCGAGCCGGTCCGGCCGCTGGAGCCTCCGGGCGGCCTCCGGGAGGCCCGCGGGGGGCGGGGCCTGGCGCGCCCGCCCCCGACCAACCCGGGGGCGGCAACGGGGGGGACGCGCGGGCCCCGCCCCCCAATCCGGCCCCCCGGGCCAGCCCCCTCCAGCGCCGCGGTTCCCTGAGGCAAGGCAAGGGGCATCATTCTGTGTCGTCTTGAAATGCATTCTCAATTACAAAGAAGCAGATTTTTCAAACTATACAATTGGTTCCTCGTTCTGATTTTAAAAAAATCTTTTGTAAATCAAATAGTATGTACTTAGTTTTAAACACAAAAAGCATTAGTGTGAAGACAAAAGTCTGCAAAGGGGTTCTAAGCAAACGAGAAGACGAAACGAGGCTAGTGAAACGCGCTCCAAAAGCCCTGATCCTACGATGCCTCCCAGACGTAGGTCATCCACCCCACTGGGCTAAGCAGATAGGACCCTCAGGAGGACACGGCTCACACCACCCTGAGGGTCACCGCACCGGCTCTAACAGGCACACGGCGGCTGGCTGAGCAGGAGGCAAGTGAGGCAAGCAAGAAACCCGCGCTGAACATTTTATTCTTTTGTCGTCAGTAATGCGTTGCTTCCGAGAAGGTATGGTATATTTATTGCAGCAGACTGCCCGAGACTGCCTCAATGTTTTAAATATTAACCTTATGAAGACCGCCTCCCTCAGAATCCAAAATCCTCTCATAGACCCCCCCACCCCCGCCTCTGCCGCACTCTCTCTTTTTCCTTCACCCTCCACAATACTGGAGAGTGCTCAATTTCTGCCGCTGCCCGCCTCAGATCACCACCATTCTCCTTTCAGGGCGACACTCTTTGGATGACGCTCTCTACTTAATCCCTCACTCAACAACTGGTCGCTCCCTCTCCCATTCTCTTCCCCCCCCCCCCCATTTTTTCCTCTCCACCCGCCCCAGTCGCTCTCATCCATTGCAGAACGCATTCGTTGCGCCTGTGGTATTATTCTCCTTGTGTAATATGTTCCCCGAGTTCTCTAGACTCGACGCGATTTCAGTCGTGTCCATTGCGTTTTGACCGAGGTGCTCACCAAACAACAACAACAACAACAACAATAGTAGTATTAGTAGTAGTAGTAACAGTAATAGTTATAATAGTAACTTGACTGTGCAAATCTCCTCCCTCGCCCGTTCGTTATGCCCGACGCGCTCGCGCCCACCCATCTTGGCGGTCTGGGCGAGGACGTGGGCTTTCAGCCCCAGGAAATGACTGCTTAGATAGTGCGGGACAAACCATCACCCCGCCGCGCCGCGCCGCGCCTCGCCCTACCGCCCCTCGCCCCGCCCCGCCCCGCC